TCTGTTTCGTGGCGGGCTACGCGCTCGTCTTCTGTTCTCGGCTCCAGCTGTGAGGCTGAGATCTACGTCGGAGCCATGGCTGCACAGGAGCTTCGCTGGCTCACCTACCTGCTGACTGACCTTGGAGAGCCGCCTCGTTCTCCTTTAGTTCTGTACGTAGACAACAAGGCCATGCTGGCCTTGTGTCGAGAGCAGCGCCTGGAGCACAGAACGAAGCACATTGCTCTCCTTTAATTTCTTGCTCGTGAGCTGCAGCAGCGTGGTCAGTTGCGACTTGCGTATGTGGCCTCTGAGGCCAACACTGCTGATGTTTTCACCAAGGCACTTCCGCCTTGTGATCATCAGCGCTTCTTCACTCAGCTGGGACTTGTCCCAGTCTTGCCTCACTTGCTCACCTCTTGACCTTGCTTGTACTCTTGCATGTATATATATATATACCTGCTCTTGCTTATTTAGTCTGATACATATATGTTTCCTCCTGCATGTGAACTGGCCTTGTGGCCTTGACCTTGTGCTCGGACTGTGTGGTGACTTTGTGATGCACCCTGAGCTTGATTTGCTTGACTGGTCTTGTGACCCCTTGTTCTCCCCCACTTTGCCTATGGGGGTGTGTTAGAACATATAGCTTTTGTATACTGTGTAGGCTATAGTGGGGTAGCCCATAAGGGGTACAACCCAATTAGGGTTAGTACTTGTACTCAGTTCATTCATAGTTCATTTATCCTCGTTCTCATCTTCTCATTTTTTCGGATTTTCACTACTCGGTTTTCCACAGCTGTTTTCTAGAGAACTCTAAAATTCAGGATTCATTATGAGCGTTACTCTGACCTGTCAGAGAAAACTTAACTTCTGAAAAATCTACACCGGGCACCCAGTATTCCTATTTTTCCAACTCTAAGTGTCCTCTCAAGTATTGAACCCAGGACCTCTGCACTCCTACCAAAAGAATTAAGTCTTGTGCTACGCGCTCATGACTTTATACTGACTTATATATATAAATTTAGCCTGCCCATCTTCCAACAATTGGGGGGCGGGGGAATGGGGAGCAAGGGGGGGGGGGGGGTTGTGACACGGTGAAATGCCTATACACTGTTCAGAGAAAAGTATATCGGGCACAAATATACACTGGTCTCTCAGAATAGCTAAAATTAGAACTCTGACAAATCAGAGAAAACTTATCCTCCAAGAAAATTTCCCTGACACGTCCGAGTGACCCCCTAAAAACCACTCTGATTTTCAGAGAAACAGAGTAATTTACTGTGATAAAAAAACCCCCGGTAGTGACTATATTAGCATGTGCCTTCAATGTATTATGAGTACGTTCAATCACAGTCTCATTATTCGTTGTTCCGCGCACTCTCTTTTACAACTGATAACACTTGTCAACTTTGTCTTTGACGAAGAAGTACCGCAGCGCAATGTGCTTGGTACGGTTGACGAATCCTGACTTGTACGCGATCCTGATCGCGCTCTAGTTGTTGCAGTGCAAGCGGATATGGGCAAAGCTGTGATTTTCGCCTCTTGCAGGAGTTCCTGTAGATAAAGCCCCTAGCGAACTGCTGCTATCGCGGCGATGAATTAAGTTTCCGCCGATGACAGGGATCGAGCCGGATGAGGAACTCGGTTTTGGACCGTCGATTGTCGGGATCAGTAGCGTGATCGGCGTCTACGTAGCTAGTAAGATTCAAGGACGAGGTTGCCACTGTTGAGTGGCAAAGTCCGATGTTGGGCGTGGAGATGAAGATCCGCTAAAGATCTAGAAGATTCTCGGAAGTCGGTTTGCGGGAGTACTAAGCCAGTTGGCTCGCGATGTACGAAAGATCGAGCCTACAGGTGACCGGGTGCAAGCAACCCGGTTGCTGCTGGCAAGTCTGAATCAAAGCAGGGGATAGGGCTTTGTTGTCGGATTTATTGCAATCGTTTGACACTCTATTGCAATCCTCGCTACCTCAATCTATTGCACCTGTAACAGAGTCACACGATGACGGTGGGTACGAGACACAGGATGAGGGTTGAGCTACTCAGGGTTGAGCTACCCACCAGTGCGCAGACTTGGTGCTGTACTGGAGGGCCACATTTGGACGACTTGGATATGAAGCACATGCAATCACAAATTTGACGTGGCGTAATCGGCGAGGTTGAATAGTTCCGCCTTGCCGTGCCCTAACGTAGTCGTGAACAGTCAAACAATCCTGGATTCGCCCCTAACATAACCCTTGGTCGCGCGACGTTGAACAAGAGGTTGCAATGTAATTCGGCCAATCCTTCTTGACGCAATGGCATGGACAATCACACATAAGCTAACTCCGTCCACATTCGTGTTGGTGCCTTGCCAGCGCAGAATGACGTTTGAGCTACCCTATCCATCTGGTCCCGAGCTTTGGTTTCCGAACGGACAGTGACTTGAGTTTTTTGACGGCTTAGATATGAATTGGCACTGATGTGGTACGATCCTGGTTGTTTAGTATCTCATATGCAACCAAGGAAAGAACCCCCCTCGGCGCGCTAGTGGCGTGCATGCTCCAACGTTCCAAGAATGTGAGTGGGACACCTGAATATGCTCAATTTGTTTTCCCTTTACCGCTCAACGGTATCCATTTTTTCATTCGCTGTACTACATTTAACTGTTTTTGTCTGAAAACATCACCATTTGTCTGGTAATTTGTAGATTCATTTCTCTTGTTGTGTGCGTGAATTTTCCCATCCGTTTCTTTTTGCGTTGTGTTTCGTTTTGTTTTGTTTTGTCCGTAAATGTATGTTTTGTCAATGCTTCACCCGTCCCACAACAATTGCTAACGAGGTTGTTGGAGCAACCCTACGGTTTGCACTCGGCTTATTGTCTGTGTGCGTGTATGCGTATGTGCATGGAATGGAATGTGTGCATGAAATAAATATATATTTCATGCTCATAATAATGTGTGTATGATGGGTCATGATGTCGAGTGTGTGTGTGTGTGTGTCAAGTCTATAGCGAATTATCACTAGTCGCGTGTAACGCGGTCATTTTGTGTGTCCCGCGCGGTTTCTATTTTGTCGTGCGCCGTTTCTATTTTGTCGCTTGTCGAACGTTTGGCGTGTCACAGATCTGTGCAGCACACCCATCAAGAACTCGAGGATGAGTTTGTGATGAAGAACCCGAGCCCTGGTGTCACCATTCAAGTGATCGCGAAGCTCGCCAAAAGGGTACACCTCAAGAAATTGAAGATAGTTACATTACTTAGTGTAGTGTAACATTTCACTTGGTGTAGGCCCTAGTGCAGGGTAGTTTCGAGACCCTTCGTGATTGCGGACAGTGTGGCACTGTTCCACATCACTGTACCTCGGCTCTTGGGGTTTGTAGGAGCTGGGAGTCATTCCCAACTCGTAACTCTTGCCAAATCTTCCAAATTTGTGTTCTAAGACTATAGTGGCTGCCATAGTTCCGTTCGTTCAAACCAACGCTATGCCGTCAATTCTGAATGAAATCATGCCTGTTGTAGGCGACATCAAGGCGCTCCAGATCCAAGTTGAATGAAGTGATTTGAAGTTGTGAGCAGATCGCTATAAACGTTTGAAGCCGCTGTGCAGAAATCCAACTGTGCACTCTATCTCTCGTTTTAGGCACATTGGAGCCTATTGTGCTTATAACAAGTGGTATCAGAGCCCCTTGGAGCAGCTACGACTATGGCTGGACCTGAAGAAAGGGGTGGCAGAGGTGCTGGAGGCAATGGAGAAGCCCAAGCACAAGGCCAAGCCCGTGGTTCAGCCGTGGTGCCCGTGCAACCAAGTCGTGGCCCATCTAGGGATGAGCCTAGAGTGTTTGGTCTTGACAAGTTCAACGGTGACAACTTTGCTGAGTGCTCCTTCAGAATGGAGAATGTTTTTGACCACTACGACCTGCTGGAGGTGATGGAAGGAACGGAGAAGCGCCCCGAGAACGACCCGGAGAAGAGCCCGTGGGTGCGGAAGAGCGCACAAGGCTACCTCCTACTTGGGCAAGCGTTGGGGAGCAGCCAGATCCGTCACATCAAGCCATTCCAGCGTGAAGCAGAGAAGGGACCAAAGGCATGGGCTGCTCTCAAGGGTGTACACGCTCCTGCAACAGCGGCGGTAGCTGTGGTGTTGGAACAGCAAATGGCGACGCTACGAATTGAGGAAGATGAACCCGTGGAAGACGGGGTGCAGAAATTCTTCGACTTGTTGACGTGGCCTGAGGGAGATTGTCTGAATTACAGTGAGCTCCAGAAGAAGACCAAGTTGCTGGCCCTACTCCCGGAATCATGTTCCTCGCTCATAATCAACTTGAACCGTGATCTGCCCCGTCTCTCGCTCGAAGACGTGAAGCGCGCGATCCTTCAAGAGGACTTCCGCCGTCGTGAGTTGGCGAGTGCGGATGGCGCTGGTGCAGCAAGTGTCGGCCATGGATATGGCCGAGGAAGAGGCAAAGGACGAGGGGGAGATGGTTTGGTGGCAGCAATGTTGGTGGAGGCCATGGAGGGCGTGGCGGTCGCGGAGGTGGAGGTGCAAATGTGAAGAGCGAAGAGAACGACAAGGACCCGAGCGGTGATCGGTACTCGGGCCTATTCTACTTCGTGTCGACACAAGTACCAGCTGGTCCAGAGAGGGTTGAAGACTTTGAAGAGCCAGCAGCTGTGGAGAAGGTGACTCTACACCCACTGGACTATTGGGTGATCGACAACGGCGCTACCTGTAGCATGAAACCTCGCCCCGACTTGCTCACCGAACTTAAACCGTCACCGGTGAAGCATGGCACATCGGCTTTGGGGCAGCGAGCAGAGGTGAAAGGCATGGGCAAGGCCATGTTCAAGGGTGCTGATGGGAAGATGGTGGGCCTCAAGAACGTGCTTTGGGTGCCCAACCTTGCTGCGAACCTGATTTCCGTGCGGCGACTGGCTAAGGCCGGCATGGACACGAACTCGAAGGGAGCCAAGACCTACACCGCAAGGCTTGGCGATCGGGCTCTTTGGGACCTTCATGAGGACAGGGATGTCTACAACGAGATGTGGCAGATCCCTGTGGTCCCCATGCCCAAGGAGATGCAAGTGGCAGCAAGCGTCAGCACAAAGGATGAAGCGGTTGGTAGCGGCGATGGCGCGAACAGTCACGCTAAGGAGATTGTGTCCAAGGAGTGCAATCTTGGAGGGACCAGCAAGCTCGGTGAACACAAGGAGAGTGGTGTAGCAGCCAAGAAGCGGCACAAGGGTGAGGAGAACCCCGGGGTAGCAGTGGAGGACTACGGAGAGAGCATGTGGGGTGCTATTGGGAGCGCGGCATTCTCTAATCCGACTTCGGCTACCAGGGAGTGTGATTGGCTCACTTTGCATCGACAAATGGGGCATGTGGCCCTGCCTATTTTGCAGCAGCTAGTGAAGAACCAGATGGTTGCTGGCATACATGTGAAGGGGGAGCCCGATGCGGTACTTGGCTGCCTGACGTGCATGCAAGCCAAGTTCACCCGTTTCCCATTCTCTAGTTCGGAGGCAACGGCCAAGGCACCACCTGATGAGGTGGTGATGGACCTGGTGGGCCCCCTGAAGCTTGGAGCTGCTGGAGATGAGTATTTCCTCACCATTCTGAACGTCTATACCCGCATGACTTGGGTGTACGTGCTGGCCAAGAAGCGTGACGTGTCTGAAACGTTGAAGACGGATTGGTTCCCGATGGTGGAGCGGCAACAAGACCGTCTAGTCAAGTCAATTCGCACCAATCAAGGGGGAGAGTTCCTAAGCAAGGAGTTTGGGTTGTGGCCGAAGAAGAATGGGATTCGACACTCCCTCACCATGCCATACTCCCCTGCAATGAACGGCATTGCCGAGCGAGCGAACCGGATGATCATGGAGGCGACACGCGGGTTGCTCATTGAAGCCGGGCTACCCGACTATTTCTTGCCGGATGCAGTGCGGAGCGCATGTGTGGCCAAGAACAGAGTTTTTACTCATGTGGGAGCAGACAAATGGGTGCCCTATGTGGAGTGGCTAGGAAGGAAGCCAAAGGTGGATATGCTTCGGTTGTTCGGGTGCATGTGCATGGCGCTCGTGCCTAAGCATCTTCGGCACAACAAGCTTGGTGCCAAGGCGGTGTGGGCCGTGCACTTGGGCATGGCTCAAAACAGCAACAGATGGCTTCTCTGGGACCCATTCACCAAGAAGTTCTTGATGAGAAGGGACTGCAAGTTCATGGAGAACTTCATGTACAAGGATTGGAAGGCGAAGAATGAGGCGAAGATAGGCGTGCGGTTTGGGGAGGTGAAGAGTTCCGGTTTGGAGCATGTGGAGCTGCCTTTGGAGCTGAGCAGCGGCAGCACAACCACGAGGCAACCCTCCCTTGTGAAAGGGGGAGAGGAGGCCACTGATGCAGAGGAAGAAGAGGAGGAGGTGCAGCAAGTGAGTGAGCGTGCACCGTCACTCCCTTCCCGTACCACGAGTGCTCCACGGAATCGAGCCACACCGCAGCAACGCCAAGGCCTCCAAGTCGCTGCAGCTGAGGAGGAAGGAAGGGGGAAGAGGAGAGTTCAACCCCCTAATAGGCTGACCTATGATGCACTTGGAAAGCAAGGCAAGACAGCCCTGGCCGGAGCGGCAATGATGGTCGGAGACGATGAGGAGAGTGACTACGAGGAATGTGCCTTCGCGTTCTTCTCTCCGGTGGAGATGCCGGGAGAACCAGCAACTCTCAAGGAGGCTTTGGAGAGTAGTGATGCTGAGGAGTGGAAGAAGGCTTTGGAGAGTGAGCTGAAGAGCATCGAGGAGAATGACACGTTTGAATTGGTGGAGCTACCGGAGGGGCGTACGGCGATAACGTCCAAGTGGCTATTCAAGTTCAAGTCCGACGCCGACGGCAAGATCGAGCGTTACAAGTCTAGGCTGGTGGCCAAGGGGTACCAGCAGAAGTAGAAGGTGCACTTCAAGGAGCTGTTTGCTCCAGTGGATCACTCCTAGTTCATGCTTGGCGAGGGGGAGCAGAGGAGCTTTATTGTGGTGTACGTGGATGACATCCTGATCTTCTCACCCTCTTCTGGCCTTGAGAAGGAGGTGATGTTGCAGCTTCAATACAAGTTCAAATGCAAGTCCCTTGGGGACGTGAAATTTTACCTCGGGCTTTACATCAAGCGTGATGTGGAGAAGCGGTGCATGCGGGTGCACCAAAGGAAGTACCTGGAGGCCTTGGCTGCCTAGTTTGGGCAGAGTGAAGGCCATGTGGCTACACCCTTTCCCTCTGGGTTCAAGTGTGTGAAGGGACCAGAGGAGGAGAGCGTGGGTGAAGAGGAGAGGTGCCGTTTTCACTCGTTGGTGGGCAGCCTCATGTATGCGGCGTTGAACACTCGGCCGGACGTTGCCGTTGCTACCGGGCAGCTGGCTAGGGTTGTGCAATGCCCTAATGAGGAGCAGGTAGCAGCTGGAATGAGGGTGGCCAAGCACCTTGGCCAAACACCGACCGTTGGGCTGCAAAACTCAGCGGCGGCGCAAAGGCGCCAAAAGGGCGCGGATGGTGTGGAACCCGGGCGTTTGTTCCTCACCGCCTACTCGTATGCTTCACATGCATCTGAACCAGAGGAAATGACAAGTGTGGGAGGCTTCATCTGCTGTGTTGGTGGAGGCCCTACTGCTTGGGAAAGCAAGAAGCAGATTGACCAAGCATTGAGCTCGGTGGAGTCCAAGTACATGGCACTCTTCCGTGCCGTACGGGAGATTGTGTGGCAGCGGCATTTGTTGACTGAACTGGGGGAGGAGCAGCAAGGACCTATCCCACTCTACTGTGACAGCCAGGGTGCCATTGCTCTAGCCAAGAACCCTGTGTTGCATGGCCTGACAAAGCACATGAGGGTGAAGTGGCATTGGACGAGGAGCATGGTAGAAGCGGGTGAAGTTTAGTTGCGCTATGTGAAGACAACGGGGCAGCCAGCTGACATGATGACCAAGAGGCTGGTGGAGCAGCAGCAATGGAAGTGTTGCAAGCTGGCTGGGATGGCTCTGAACTAAGAGGAGTAAGACCTAAGGCCAACAATCCGAGGGGGAGTTTGTTGGTGCAACCCTACGGTTTGCACTCGGCTTGTTGTCCGTCTGCGTGCATGTGTGTGTGCATTGAATGGAATAGGTGCATGAAATAAATAAATATTTCATGCTCATAATAATGTGTGTATGATGGGTCATGATGTCGAGTGTGTGTGTGTCAAGTCTATAGCAAATTATCGCTAGTCGCGTGTAACGCGGTCATTTTGTGCGTCCTGCGCGGTTTCTATTTTGTCTTGCGCGGTTTCTATTTTGTCGCTTGTCGAACGTTTGGCGTGTCGCAGGTGTGTGCAGCGGACCCATCAAGAACTCAAAGATGAGTTTGTGATGAAGAACGCGAGCCCTGGTGTCACCATTCAAGTGATCGCGAAGCTTGCCAAATACTAGTAGTTCGATACGCGCGTGCACAACGGAATCGATTTTGTTGCGACTCCGCTGTGCACCTTGCGATTAGGTCTAGTAAGGGCGGACTTTGTAATTTAGTCCTCTGAGCTTTAGTATCTGTTTTCCCCACCACAAATTAGGTTATTGTTACTCTGAATTGCCGTCTTCTATGCGTAAAGCCGTCCAGTAGGCTTGCAACCCACGCTCTAGGTAGGCGCGTGTTCTTCACGTTACGGATCTACGCAACAGCGTCTCGCCACGCGGCTATACGCTAAAAATTGTAATAAGTCTTTGATAGCGCAATTGAACCATCAAAAAGTTTGTGAGCCATCCTCAAACAGGCCTAAAGGCAAATCGAGCTATGAGGAGCAGGAGGGGGTGCTCTGGAAATGATTTTGTATGGTGACAGTTCACCTGTGCGGTTATGTTGGGGTTTTTTTACGGGGGTATGGTCGGAAGTCGAATGTAATGGCATGGATTTGGGTGGCGTGGGAATGGGTGGATTGTTTGATTCAGTGACGTGGCTGCAAAGGGGCGCTTTGCTGACGCGTATATTCAGCATAATAGAGCTCAGCGGACGAAAAATGCCGCCCATTTTTGTTGTTTAGAACGGACGACCCCTCTCCTCGGGGTTGACGAACCCACGACGACCTCCGCGTGGAAAGCCCAGGCGATCTGGCTGGGCTCAGTGCTGGTGAGCCCTCGGGATTGTCGACGACTTGACGACCTAGGGTACCGCTGAGACAATCCCGAGAAGGGCGTCTCAACGCATGTCAGAATCCCAGCTCAGCACGTCGGGGCGCGATGATCACCACGTGGCCACAAAGAGACGTCTGAGGTCGACCCTTGGATGTCGTGGCCATCGAGGTCTGCCAGGATTGCCACGATGGGCCAACAGAGGGTCGGGGTGCTTCGCGTGGGAAATATGTTGGTGCAACCCTATGGTTTGCACTCGGCTTGTTGTCCGTGTGCGTGCATGTGTGTGTGTCTATGGAATGGTATGAGGGCATGGGATAATATATATTTAATGCTTATAATTGTGTGTGAATGTTGAGTCATGATGTCGAGTGTATGTGTCGAGTCAATAGCGAGTTATCGCTAGACGCGTGTTACGTGGTCGTTTGTGTCTCGCGCGCGGTTTCTATTTTGTCGTGCGCGGTTTCTCTTTTGTCCTGTGTCGAACGTTCGGTGTGTCGCAGGTGTGTGCAGCAGACCCATCAAGAACTCAAGGATGAGTTTGTGATGAAGAGCCGAGCCTTGGTGTCAATCCACAAGTGATTTCAAAGCTCGCCAAAAGGGTACACCTCAAGATATTGAAGATAGTTACATTACTTTGTGTAGTGTAACATTTCACTTGGTGTAGGCCCTAGTGAAGGGTAGTTTCGAGACCCTTCGTGGTTGGGGACAGTGTGGCACTGTTCCATATCACTGTACCTCGGCTCTTGGGGTTTGTAGGAGCTGGGAGTCATTCCCAACTCGTAACTCTTCATAACCTTTCCTATCTTGTGTTCTAAGACCATAGTGGCTGCCATAGTGCCGTTTGTTAAAACCAACCCTGTGTCGTCAATACTTGGTCAAATCGTGCGATCTAAATTGCCTATTGTAGGCAACAGTAAGGCGCTCCAGATCCAAGTTGAATCAAGTCATTTGAAGCTGTGACCAAAACGTTATGAACGTTTGAAGCCGCTGTGCAGAAATCCGACTGTGCACTCTATCTTTCGTTTTAGGCACATTGGAGCCTACTGTGACTATAACAAGTGGTATCAGAGCCCCTCGGAGCAGTTTCGACAATGGCTGGACCTGAGGAAAGGGGTGGCAGAGGTGCTGGTGGCAGAGGAGAAGCCCAAGCTCAAGGCCAACCCCGTGACTCAGCCATGGCGCCCGTGCAACCAAGTGTTGGCCCATCTAGGGATGAGCCTAGAGTGTTTGGTCTTGACAAGTTCAATGGTGACAACTTTGCTGAGTGGTCCTTCAGAATGGAGAACATATTTGACCACTATGACCTGCTGGAGGTGATGGAAGGAACGGAGAAGCGTCCCGAGAACGACCCGGAGAAGAGCCCGTGGGTGTGGAAGAGCGCACAAGGCTACCTCCTACTTGGGCAAGCGTTGGGGAGCAGCCAAATCCGTCACATCAAGCCCTTCCAGCGTGAACCAGAGAAGGGACCAAAAGCATGGGCTGCTCTCAAGGGTGTACACGCTCCTGCAACAGCGGCGGTAGCTGTGGTGTTGGAACGGCAAATGGCGACGTTACGAATTGAAGAGGATGAAGCGGTTGAAGAAGGGGTGCAGAAATTCTTCGACTTGTTGACGCGGCTTGAGGGAGCTGATTTGAACTATAGTGAGCTCCAAAAGAAGACCAAGTTGCTGCCCCTACTCTCGGAGTCATGGTCCTCGCTCATCATCAACCTTAATCGTGACTTGCCCCGCCTCTCGCTTGAAGACGTGAAGCGAGCTATCCTTCAAGAGGATTTCCGCCGCTGTGAATTGGCGAGTGCGGATGGCGCTGGGGCAGCGAGCATCGGCCGTGGATATGGTCGAGGAAGAGGCAGAGGACGAGGGGGAGGAAAGTTTGGTGGCAGCAACTTCGGCGGAGGCCGTGGGAGTGGCGGTTACGGCAGCGACGAGAAGAACTACGGACGCGGTCGCGGCCGATTCGACGGCGAGTGTCACTATTGCCACAAGAGCGGACACATGTGGCGCGACTGCTACAAACTCCCTGATGGTTGGACCCCTGCTCAAGGCCAAGAGGGTAGAGGAGCAGGAGGAGGGAGAGGAAGAGGCCGTGGAGGCCGTGGCGGTCGCGGTGGCGGAGCTGCAAACATGAAGAGCGGAGACAACGACAAGGACCCGAGCGACGATCGATACCCGGGTCTATTCTACTTCGTGTCGACGCAAGTACCGGCTGGTCCAGAGAAGGATGAAGGCTTTGAGGAGCCAGCAGCTGTGGGGAAGGTGACCCTACACCCCCTGGACTATTGGGTGATTGATAGTGGCGCTTCCTATAGCATGACACCTCGCCCGGACTTGCTCACCGAACTCGAGCCGTCACCGGTGAAGCATGTCACATCGGCTTTGGGGCAGCGAGCAGAGGTGAAAGGCATGGGGAAGGTCATGTTCAAGGGTGCTGATGGGAAGATGGTGGGCCTCAAGAACGTGCTTTGGGTGCCCAGCCTTGCTGCAAACCTGATTTCCGTGCGGCGGTTGGCAAAGGCCGGCATGGACACGAACTCGAAGGGAGCCAAGACCTACACCGCAAGGCTTGGCGATCGGATTCTTTGGGACCTTCATGAGGACAGAGATGTCTACAACGAGATGTGGCAGATCCCTGTGGTCCCAATGCCTAAGGAGAGGCAAGTGGCAGCAAGCGTCAGCACTAAAGGTGGAGCGGTTGGTAGCGGCGATTGCGCGGACGGTCGCGCTAAGGAGAAGGAGTCCAAGAGTGCAATCTTGGAGGGACCAGCAAGTTCAGTGAACCTAAGGAGAGTGGTGCAGCAACCA